CAGCGCAAACACCCTGCAGGAGTGGGTGGGGGGGGGGGGGGGGGTGGTTCACTAGCTGCTAAGTCAGTTCAAGAAAATTTGCTTTTTATTGTCTGTTTTTGCCATTCAAAGTCGAACTATTTGCTCCAGTTGAAATGTAACAACCCTTTTGGGAAGCCTCCTCAACCAGTGCATTTTTCAGTGACGCTGCTTTTTCTGTCCTGATGTAATATTTCCTCTTGTCCTGCTGTTTTTAATCCTTCTTTTTAAGGCATTTTCCCACCTTCTTACACTGGAATAGACCATATATGTGCACATCTCTTAACGGATTTGATCAAAGAGCGTCTCAATCAGTCCTAACCGGGGTAAACGACCAAATGGACTGTAGGTTTTCTTAGTTTAGTCATCCATTAAAAAAGACATCTGCACTAGTCTTGTGTTTTTGTTTGAATTCAGCCACAGATTGAAAGATGTATGGTGGCTCCGGGAAGCCACGCGCTGAATGTTGTGCTTGTTTATTGACAGGTCATTCAGTTTGGGGCGGACTGCAACCAGGATGAGTGCACTTGCCGTGATCCGGACGCCGAGGAGAATAAGAGCAAAGCCAAGCACTTGGAAGGAGGAGGAGGAGGAGGAGGAGGAGGAGGAGGAGGAGGAGGAGGAGGAGGAGCCGGAGGAGGAGGAGGAGGAGCCGGAGGAGGAGGAGGAGGAGGAGGAGGAGGAGGAGGAGGAGGAGGAGGAGGAGGAGGAGGAGGAGCCGGAGGAGGAGGAGGAGGAGGAGGAGGAGGAGGAGGAGGAGGAGGAGGAGGAGGAGGAGGAGGAGGAGGAGGAGGAATGCAATAAGATGTAGGGATGAAAGTGGCTGAACTTGTGTTACACAGTCAAACCACAGACTATACACCGCAACAAACCAACAACAAGTATTACATTTTTTGAAACATTTGTAATGCAAAGAACGCAGCTGAAGTCAGACTTCATTAAATGAATGGCTTATTTTTTTATTTTATATTTTTTTAAGTGATCTCGCTGTTAAAAAGCATCACATGAGTCATGTTGGTTTAAAAAATGTAATTCTTCTTTAGCACATCGTGAATATATTGTTTTCTTTTTTTAAGTTAAGGTTCATATTTACTGCTGTGTATGTTTATTTTTTTATTGTATTCAAATGTTAAAACTATATTCAATGTTGAAATGAGAGCCTAACAGAAAACACTGAGGTCCAGTTGAAATAGGGTTAAAATGCAGCTGCACAACAAAAAAGCTCATCATAATTGCATCAAATCACTATTGTAAATGGATTCAAGTGCTTTTCTGGACTTGATTAGTGACAGGATAAAGAACCCAAAAGAACTGGCTGTGCCTGAAGAATATTTCAGGACATGCAAAGCCCTTACTGTAAGGGCTACTGCTACTAACTGTGTTTACTGTAGCATCCAGTTAGAAAAAACATTAGCATTCCATGGAATTAAAGAACCAAACTTCTAAATTATACTGAAAACAATTCAGATGTTGCAAGTTGTCTGATGGCTATTCAAAAACAAATGAGAACAAGTTAAGTGAAAGTGGACAAAGAAAAAAAGGTTGCCTGGTCATTATTTTACAAGTTTACTATACAAAAGAACAACCTAATCCCCATTGTCCTCATAGCAGAACAAAACAAAACCTCCCACATACTTAAATTAGTTTCAACCTCATTACCAGATGCTTTAGGAATGTGAAAGGATACACATCTGTAAAGACTAACATGTATAGACTAATATATTTTCATCTAATGGATCACATACTAGTCACACGTCAACACTATTTATATCACAGATCCAGTGACACACATTATATTCAGCATTTACACAGGTCTTCCCAAACCTCTATTCATTTTTCAGTTGAATTTACAAAAAGAAATATCCTAAATTAGGTCTACTGATTGTAAATAATTACATCCAAAGCTGGAAGTCAGATATTGACTTTCCAATCTAAAAAAGTGTTGGAGGTGGCACAATGGTGGATAAACTACATAGACTTGGGAGCTTGGGTTTAAGTTTGGCTCAACACAGCCTTCAAACATCTCTGCTGCTTGCATGTTAGCTTCTGGTATCCATTAGCCAGATAAGGAACCCCATATTGTATCTATACAAGTGTAATCATGTTCGTTGTGATATTCTACAGTCCTTTATACTGTATATTAAATAAATAGCAACTTTATATCGACCCTAATAATGTCTCTGTTGATTCGGGTTACGGTTGTTCACACAGGATGTGTCTATTGTGGGTTCTTTCTTACCATCTACAAATGATATGTTATAATAAAATGTGGCTGACTCCACAGTTCACACACACACACACACACACACACACACACACACACACACACACACACACACACACACACACACACACACACACACACACACACACACACACACACACACACACACACACACACAGTCTTTTCAGATTTCATAATGGGCTCAACTGTAAAATAACTTATCAGTGTTTACTATCCTTCTTAGTTAGAGATGTGCATGGAAAGAACAAAATATGTCAAATGACCAAAAATTGTATTTGTTTTAAATGCTGCGTCACGGATTGCTTACAAAACAGTAAACCTCCCTTTCTCTGCAGGCTTTTGCCAATTCAAGGACTTTAATAGATCCTAGAATCTGATCTAGAGAAGCAAATAAACAAGTTTCTCGGCTCTTAGTCTGGTTTCATATGCAGAATGCCGTCAGAGATCAGATACATGTGGATATCTGTAATGGTTCAACCATGGACATTATCCATTGTCTTACAGAAATTAGACTTGGCCCTACAGTGGACTGATTTCCACATGATTTTCATTTACAAATTCCAAGTAGGCCACATTTTTACGAAGCTCGTATACTAGATCAATAATTTCAGAATGTGAAATACTATAAAAAAAACATAGTAAAAACCAGAATGCTTACAGTTTCAATAAAATGTCATTGGTTGTGATCAGAGATCTGTTTATAGGGCAAATATTTCTGTATACTACGCTTCCCATAATTCATGTTTCTAAACTGTATTGTATAAGAAGTGAACATAGTTACCAATTTACGCCATTTTTCTTTTGTTGCCAAAATACTGTGTGGTAGACCAGTGATTCACACGGTAGCAATGCATGTAAAGCATGCATTGCTATAACACCTATTTTTGGACTAAATGGAACCATCATTAACTGAACATCATGTTATACTAAACAACACATACAACTAGCGATTTGGACCATAAACTTGTAAGGAAAATGATTACTAAGGTAATATATGAAGTGATAAGTAGAACTTTTCCTCATAGACACTACACAATCTGACTTGTTTTTTCAACCAGTGAAACATGTATGCATGTCAAGCGAACTTTCAATGTCTTTTCAGAACTGGGGGTTTCCACTTGACACCCACACATTCACTAACTCTGACTGTGCCCAATTCCATACTCCTAGGGCAGGGGTGACCAAACTACGGCCTGGGGGCCGAATGCGGCCCCGTTGCCCACTTTTAATTGGCCCGCAGCAAATGCTGAAAGTATGAATGAATATGGCCCATACCAGAAACGTGTGCTTGTCTTATGTAAAGTACACAGTATTCATGTGTTAATAGAACCAATTCTCAAATATATTCCGTCAATTAAAGTTGAAAAGATGTTCCAACAAATCAGGCTTGAAATACATCCTTCCTATTTCCCCCTTATTATAAGCAATCCGTTTTAAGGAATGAGCTGCGAACAAAATAAAGGAAACTCTATGGAAATGTGTGATGTAGGCTGTTCTTTTCTTAAAGCATTGTCAAATATCAACCATCATTTACCTACATTTGATTGATTTTGCTTCCTTATAACTTAACTTATGAGGCAATACCCATAACTCACCTCTATGAGGGGCCCTGGCCTTCGTATTTTTTTCTTTATGTGGCCCTCAGTGGAAACAGTTGGGACACCCCTGTCCTACGGCACAGACTGTGGCTGCCAGAGTGAGAATGTGTTTGCGGACACACCGACCGACCGAAAGGGCGAGCTAAGGAGCTGCTAATCACAGCCATGAAAAAAAAGTCAGCCAGTATGTTGGAAGAGGATCAGTTTATATTACCATTATGGAATTAATTCAGTACTTTGACACACCTGCTGCTCAAAGTCTGAGTTCTCATCCCCATGTGACCCAGGCAGTAACAACAACAACAACAACCTGTATTTTTTATTTTAATGTTTATTTTATTATCTTTTCTTTTTAATGACTGATTTTAAATGCCCTTTTCTTAATGTCTTTCATTTTTTGTAAAGCACTTTGAATTGCCTTGTGTTGAAAAGTGCTATATAAATAAACTTGCCTTGCCTTGTATACCCTTTCCAGTTCCTACTGCTAAAGAAACTTGACATGACTTGTCATACAGAAGCTTTCCTCAATCTGCATCCTCTCTGCACTTGTGTTCTGGTCAATTTGTGAAACGTCCTCACCCCCAAGTTCAACGTCTGCATCTAGCCAAGTAGCAACAGTCCGAATGACTGGAAGTAGTCCTGCTTACTTGTTTGGACTTCAGGTAGCCAAGTACCCCAGAATGCATTTCACGCCTGTGATATTTTGAGCCAAGTTCCAAACTATTTTGAAAAAAAAGATCCACAGTGCTCTGAAGTTCAAACACGTAGAAAGAAGGCGCTCTTTGGTGGGGACACACACACATTCAAAACAGAAGAAAGGTCCAAGAATGTGAACATAAAATAGCCATCTTTTTGCCAGAGGAGTGCCCTCTGGCAAAAAGATGGCTATTTTATGGTCAAAGTCTAAAAACGGAGAAAATATTTTTAAATAAAGCTTTGGTAACAACCCACACGTAGCCTCAAAACCGGTCTTTTTCAGGGGATTTTAACATTTACAAGCATATTCTTCTTTTGTGTGTTGTTTTATGATTTGTTCAGACATCTGATGATTTTAAGAATATCAATACAGCCACGTTTCATAATATATTCTTTATTGTTCTTTGAAGTAGCAAAGATCAAGGTGAAAAAAGTTTATGATGGCCAAAGACAGTTTAGACAGAATAAAATCATGCAGATAGTATATGATTGGTTTACATGTTTCACAAGGGTCAAGAGCCTTAATATTCCACTTAATAAGTTTGTCAAATGTCCCACTTTTCTACGACAGAATGTCATTTCGTAGTTCTTTAATGAACCAATCACAGGTTATTACAAAGGTCCAATCCAATTTCAGCAAAGAAAGTAAAGCCTGTTACATTTTACATCACAACTGCACCAAGTGGATTAACCCAATTAGTAAGCTACACAGCAGATATGACCATACAATATTGTATCTACTAAAGCACACGTAAAATGTTATACATTTATATACAGAAGAAAAAACACTGTACTGCGTTATGTGATGCATTTATGAAATACTTTGCTGCCTATACAAAAATCTACAAGTGTCCATTTTAGTATTCACATATGAGATTTGTTAAAAATCAGCAACTAATATACATTTGTTGACATCGATCTCCAACATGGCCACTGCACACAAATAAAATAAGAACATAACAAATAGAAACTAAAGTTAAAATATACTCACAAGAAACAAACAGTTTTAGTAGAGATGACAGATAAATCTCTCTTACTTTGAATGATGTGAAAACGATAAAAGCAAAGGTTTTATTGAACATGTGGAGAAACAAAGCTGATGTTTGTGCCTGTTATTTAGTAAAACTCTTTTGAAAGCAGCTTTAACTTTAAATGCAAACTAGCAATACTACATTCAGAAGGATACATCACAAAAACGTTATGATAATGTTATGTACAAGGTTAGTTTTCATACTAAAATAACTTCCTGCTGACAATTATCTCTTATCTTTCTTTTACTTTTCTTGTAAAATCTCTTTATCTGCTTTAATGCCACCTCACTTTTCTTACAGAAACATGGATAACCTTCTAAAATACTGGCATTTCCTTAAAACGTTGCACAGCATTCCCTTTTCAATGTGTGAGAATATCAAAACAAGACTTGTGGGTACTAGCTCATGAGGCTGACTTAATTTAAAGTATGTATACAACATACAGCCACCAATACCAAATCATAGCTGGCACACATGATGGTTCAGCCCATGTGTTCACTTGCTGCGTGTGTTGCAGTTATTCATAATTACGACAAGCATCAGAAGCTTCAAAATATTAACGATGTTCAGGATGTACCAATGAAACCGAAGCTACAATAGAAGCTGGATCCATTTTCATGTACATTTTACGAGAAAAGGAACTGCTGTATTACCCTTTAAAACACAGATCTGACCTTTTCATTTCTGACTGAATATAAAGAACCCAAAGGAAATTGCGCTTCACAATATTGACTACACCATCAAGATGACAGATTTATTCCAACAAAGATTAAAAAAGAATGTGCCCTCTTTATATATCCCTTTTTTAAATGAAGATTGTTCAATCCAACAAAGAAATACAGTGAAATAAAATGCAAGGTGTTACGTTTAGTTTATCTAAGATAAATGCATTTAATGTAGAACTCTAGGTTGGCTCCCCAATGAGATTACATTTCATTGTGACATGGAATGTTTCTGTATTCTGCCTTTAACTTACTAAGCAATGAAACAAAGGGGTCTTCTTTATGAAGCATCTGCAGATGTGTCAAGTTTGCATTATATTTCACTTTATCATTGCAAGGGAAGAATAGAATTCAGAGAGCTGTCTGGATCAAAAGAGCCACAGATATTTAGGTGAATGTATCTATCTTGAAGCTCTGATTAGACTTTGATAATGTGGTAAAGCTAAATATAACATTTGGCATTTCAAATTATATTAAAGGTCACCTATTATGCAAAATCCACTTGTTCATGTCTCTTCTACATAAACATGTGTCCCCTCTGTGTAAAGACATTCTGAAAGTTACAGGAAATAGATTCGCTCACTTTTTGATCCATTTATATAAAAACCTGTCTGAAAATGAGATGATCACATTTTGGCCACTGTATGATGTCATAACGATGTTTTGTCTTGTGTAACCATTAGCCAATCAGCAACCAAGGTAACCCCCCCCCCCCCCACCTTATCACCTGCATCTCCTCCTAGAGCACCATTGTGTTCTTTGTAACCAAATATCTCATCAGAGGGGCGTGGGGAGGGGCTCCTTATTTCCATCTAAAGTAACAGACAGAGAATCAGCACTTTGGAAACAGGGCTGAAACAGAGGGGATTATGGGATGCTGCAATGGGTGATCTGTTTTGTATTAGAGCCGAACACTTCAGAGACATGTTTTGTATATATCTGAGACCTATAATATAGTGAGGAAAAACAGTATAATAGGAGACCTTTAAGAATGTGCTTATGACACTATACATACATTAAGCTAAGGGAAACAAATGTAAAATCTGCATTCTATTTGTTTCTTTGTTGGGTTTGACACATTTCCCATATTCCTGTACACATTGCAACAGAAACCTTTAATAGTTTCACAGCTCCTTGGGCTCGCCGTAGTCGTTGTACATGACGGTAAGCGTCTGCTCGTCGCAGGCCTTGTGGACGTCTTGGCCCATGTGAGACCAGTTCAGCCCGAAGGCCTTGGTGTCAGTGTAGCGGCAGGACAGGAACTTGAGGGACATCCTGCGGAGGCCGATCTTCGGCTCCTGAAGAAGACCCTTACACCACGGGTTGAGCTCTCCTAACTGGGAGAGAATGAGGCCGGCCTTCCTGTTGGGACAAAGCAAAAAATAACTCATTAAGTTGGCTTTGGATGCTTTAATCCGTAAACATGTCAGAAGTAGGAGACCATGAGCAATTATTGTTCAAAAACTAATATAAATGGGGAATACAATACAGTATAGTGCCCATGACTGAACTTCCAGTTTATGTTGTCAACCTGGTCGACATTTCCGAACAGCAACACATTTCCCGCCCCCCAAAAATGCATCTTAACGTATGTGACACAATTGACAAGGAAAATAAAAATAGTTGACTGACTGTCTCTTTTACAAGTCTATTGGTGCTTATACTGTGTTGTGGAAGTGTCTTGCCATAACTAATATTACAAATCCTACAACATATATTGTGATCTAATTCCTGTTCTTTATGTAGTATCTTGGCAAAAAAAGTTTACGGGTAGTTTTACGCAACAAAACTACTCAGTGTTAGAAAAAAGAGACTGTTGTTGAGGTTGAAATAACTACGTTTGTTAAATAATTGAAGTTACTGACTTCACATTTCAAGTACATATATATAGACTTTTAGTTTCAAACTTGATAGAAACATCAACGCCTTAGGGGAAATTCCTGTTTGACACCATCACTAACTCTTGTCCTTAGCATACTTTCTCATGTCTCATTGTAAACGTTCCTTTGCTCTGAGCATCTATTAAAGACTGATAACATTGGAGTTCATTGAAAGCCTGGTGCATCTCCTACAGACACATCCCAAGCGTCTGTAATGGACGCCCTAGCCTTGAGACCATTTTGTGGCAGCATAACGAATAGAAAAGTTGTTGAAATGCAATAAACTGTGAGAAACACTTGTTGCGAAGTATTTGAAGGAAGGTGGAATCTCAGCGTTGATGCACATCAGCCTTCAGAAACATTAGACTGTCCACAGTTCATAAATCACGGCGTGGCTCCGCTGTTGTTTTAGAATGACATCACTGTGTGACAGAACCTAAAACCTACCCATCTACCACTGCTTCCCGAAGGGTAAGGTGCACTGTTACTGAGACATTCCGACTTTGACCCAAAGCACACACTGGCTTCTGAAGCTCTGTATCGGAATTATGAAAGTAAAACAGTGGAAAAACGAATAAATGAAGGAATGGATGGCTGTGGCAGGTAAAGAGCTGTAATCCTGGCTGGAATACCGCTGGGAGAGCCTATTAATGCCTTGTTTCATCCTGTGGCCAAACCAGGCCAGCTGAAAAAATCATCTCTGTGAGTAACATGATGCACAGAGGTCACATAAATACATCTCATAGCGCAATAAATAATCATTAAGTCTAATGCAGCCTGTTCAGCACTTGAAGGGAAATCCTGTCAAGTGTGTGTCTATGGCAGCAGTAGGAGATTTCATTCATTCCACACACATTTTCTCCTCGCTCTGAAGCCAAAGTAGCATTTCTACAGCATGTCCCCATTCTGCCAAGCCACAAGTCTGCTGGACGCAGCCGAGTCACCAGAGCCACATTATCCTGATGAACTGATGACACGTCAGAGCGCCCGGCTACACATTCAATACCACCAGTTAGACAACATGAATGACCCTACTGATAGATTCAACAAAGATAAAGTATGTATTTGAAGGGTTTTTGTGGAACAAACTGTGGACTTAATGCTCTACACTCATATTACAAAATGGTTCAACTTAGAAGCAAAAGTTTGTCTTTGCCTTAACAAAAGTTGAGGAAAATCAGGTATAAGAAGGATTTGTTTGCAAAGAGTCACGTTAGACACATTGTTTAACGAGTGTTAACAATTGTTGTACAAATGAAAAATAAACATTGATTGATTGTATGAACATGATAATGCACGTTAAAACAACTGACTTAGTTACATTATCCACTATCATTCAAGTTTTCAGATATCGTCATACAAATTGAAAAGGACTGATGTCTTCATTTTGTGCTTCTACTTATTCCTTGTATTGTATACATCAGCTGTTTGTCAAAGTGCAGGTGAGAGCATCAAAGAGACTTCACAAACATACAGTGTTCCCCAATCCATCATGGCCTCTCACCTGGGAGTCAGATCTGATGCAGGTGTGATGATGACAATGATGATGATGATGGTCATGCAAATGATGATGATGATGATGATGATGATGATGATGATGATGATGATGATGATGATGATGGAAGGGAATTCAAAGGGACTAATAATACTAAGATACATATATTGGTGAATTCAATGTCAGCGACAAGTATCTCAAATCAACTGAGGTTGTACTGTTTGAAAATCTGAGTTACAAAACATGTTTTTTTCCAAAGTTTAAATAGTTTAAAACCTTTTTTCTCTTCCTTTAATTCACGTTAAAATCAGCACAGGTACATTGCGAAGAAAGAAAAAAAGAAGAAAGAAAGATAAAGAAAATAACAATCTCCCTGGGTCTGTGGAATCAGCTTCCAGAGAACATACGGACCTCGGCATCACTCTCAGTTTTTAGGAAATGCCTCAAGACCCACCTGTTCCACACCGCATTGTACTGACTGTCCTTTACTTTATTTATTTTTAAACCTTTTATGCTCTTAACCTTTTATTTTTTATATTGCCATATTTGATCCAATATGCTCCTTTAGATATCTTTTTACTTATTTTTCCTTATAGCTTTGTGAAGCACCTTGAGATGACGTTTGTCTTTAAAGTGTGCTATATAAATCAAATGTATTATTATTATTTATATTATTATCTCAAATAAAATATTTGTCATATACTGTACACATTTGGTTTTCGTTGCCTTCTTATTCCTAATATTATTAATAGTGGTGCCATATTGCTGTAATTCTAAGTAAAAGTGTGCAAAATGAGGTTTGGAGTCAGTTCATCTCATGCTTTGAGTGTGAAATGTTCCCCTTGATAACATTTCCTAACTTTAAGCTGAGGCTGTCAGTCCTTCAGGTGCTCTAAGAAAGGTAGGATTGGAAGCATCAGGACAGTTACAACATGGCCTTTAAGGTGAGAGTTTTCCCATAGTACGAAATATATTTTTCTGCACAATATTTCATTATCTGCCACTAGGGCTCTCTCGATCAAAAAGATGGAGTTTGTAGAAGTAGTGTAGAACTATATTCATTTGTCACGACTGGTTAGGATTCCTTCATTGTTTATCTTTCAGGAGGATGTAACCGTGGGAGATGAATAATCCTCAGAGATCTCCCTTCACTTAAACAAATGGACTAGGTGAGTAATAATGTTAAAAACACTAAATAAAGCATTTTCAAAAAGATAACAATCAGTATCTCGCCATTGCTGTTTGGCTGCCGCAAACCTTTGCTCTGCTTGTGTCTATAATCACTTTTGATAAAAAATACAATAACTATGATCCATCATCGGGTACAAAAAATGGCTTGAAACTGGAATATCTACATATCTATGTATACAATACATCAAAAATGCATTTTGCATAATAGGGGACCTTTAAAGATAAAAACGTGAGTTCTATTATAAAGTTAGAGTCTGGAACTACAAGCACCAATAAGTGTGTTGGCCGTTTAATTACACTAGCAATCAAACAAAAAAGTAAAAATCATTATATAAATGTTAAAAATAGCACTAGTCTGTGGCCCTGGATAAAACCAACCAATAGAAGTTAGTAAGAAAATATGTTTTTATTTTATTTGTAAGTTTTGAGTTTCAGTCTCCTTGGAAAATAAATGTCCTCTTTTCAAACACTCTTTCAAATGATGACCCACACATATTTATTATTCTGTTAATACGCTGCATTTCTTTGGTGTTTTGAACCTAAAGTTAGCACAGACAAACACATTGTAATAATACAGACAATGTGTGGTCTGTGGTTCCTACAGTATTTCATCCCCCCTCTTATACTGACCCCGAATCAACTGCTGCTCCGTAAACATATAGCCCATCACCATATTTCCTGGTATGTGCTCATGTTATTTCTGGACAATGAGTATGTTCTGTATGCCATAGGCCACAATTCATTCCAGACAGTCAAGGAACTTTATATCAAACATATTTCTGTGTTATTGTTGGCATTCCTCTCTAATTTGCAAACCATTTGACCTATAATGATACGCGAGAAGCAACATCCTCTAGAAGTACTTTCCATATGTTCTTGAATTGTTTTTGGAATTGGAGTGTATTTTCAGTGTGATATGTACATATGGATGCTCAGCAGGAAGGCATATCCACAGAGCTATAACAGCAACCTCTGTGGCCTCAGTAATGATTTTTGCTCTGGAAACTTCATAGAGAGAAATAACAATTCAAATGATGTCAGTCTTCACGGTCAGCCTGTCTACAGACAAGAACGTATGTGTTGGTACTGCCATACTGCCATTCATATCATTTTTCTGAAACCTCTTTATGTTCCCAATATTTTGCCACAGATTTCAGCGGTTTGAGGAAATCGGGGTATTTATTTGCTTTGAATAAAGAAAAAAAAGTGTGGTTTGTTTTGCTTTCGTTTTTCAGGAGAGCAGAGGGACGTGTCACAGGTTCCAAATAACAACGGTTGTCACCATAAATCCTTTTGAACATAAAGGAGTGGAAAACAGCTCAAAGTAAAATCCTTAAGGCCCCTTAAGAATCTCCCCCTGGCCAAAACGTAAAGGTCTCCTATTATACTGTTTTTCATCAATATATTATAGGTCTCAGATAAATACAAACATGTCTCTGAAGTGTTTGGCTTGAAATACCAAACACATCCTGCATTGAAGCATCCCATAAACCCCTCTGTTTCAGCCCTGTTTCCAAAGTGCTGATTCTCTGTCTGTTACTTTACTGTGGATGGAAATAAGGAGCCCCTCCCCACGCCCCTCTGAGAGATATTTGGTTAAAAAGAACACAATGGTGCTCTAGGAGGAGAATCAGGTGATAAGGTGGGGGGGTTTACCTTGCTTGCTGATTGGCTAATGGTTACACAAGCCAAAAAATCGTTACGACATCATTAAGTGTCCAAAATCTGATCAGCTCAATTTCAGACATGTTTTTATATAAATGGATCAGGAAAAAAAGTGAGAGAATCTTTTTTCC